CTGTTTTCACAATGAAAATCGAGCGAACGCTGTAAATACGGCTAGAATTTAAATTTTTGTTCGATTTTACATGCAATCTGCTAATATATTTGTTTATTTTCTGTGCATATACATTTCGTTCGTATTTACTTCTTTCTTTCGTGATCGGAAGACGATTATTAAAAATACAGCTGTAAATTGAAACCACTGTAGTTGCTTATCGTGAGCAATAAGTGGCAACAATGTCGGGCGACAATGAATTCAAGCGATTGACACATTGCCATGAATACACTTGATAACTGCTTGCAGACTTCCAATGGACATTGTTTATGTTTGGACTGTTGAAACAATAGCAAAATAAAGGGTTGGGCAACTACTCTTTTGTTTAGGCTTGGGAAGAACAATGCAAGCTTTTTACAAATAATTTCAGCTGGATGTACGTTGGTGGGCGGGTGTTGAGAGTTACTGGGCGGCCGTAAAACTTGATGGGCGGGCCGCCCGCCTAAAACCCCTTGTGGAGAACACTGTTAAAGTTTAAAACCATTTCAAAAAACTATGATTATCCTATAGAATGAATTTGCTGAAAAGGTATACAAATGTACATCTATCAAGTTTTAACCCATTTGACCAAACTCGTATTGGGATGTCAACAAAACAAGTTGAAAGTAGTTAATTAGTATGCACATTATCTATTTTAATATATAGATTATTCCAAAGTATGTCAGACATGCCACAAAACATAATAATAGTAGTTAAATCATTATGAAAATTACCTAAATAATATACAGATTTGTACTTAATTCTAATTAGGTCTGAAGTTTATGACAATGCACATTGTATTTGTTTACTAAATCACCTTACAATCCACTCTGTGGTTTTTGAAACATTGGTGGAACTAGATTTAACAACGCAGACAGACAGACAGACAGACAGACATCGGTATGACACTGGAGTTGTCACTGAAATTCAAAAACAGTTTAACTTGGGCAAACATTGGAATTACTGTAAAACCTGCATTAAAAGCCGCGGCTTCTATTAAAATGGTAGAATGCAACAGAGGGGAGCGGCTTCTATTGGAACATCTACACATACGAGAAACAATGAATTTTTGGTTCTCAAATGTTTAAAAAGAATAGGTGTGACTTCTATTAGGGATGCGGCTTCTAATACAGATTTTACGGTACTGTTTATAGGACAATATCCTCAGAAAGACCTGGATGAACCACCTTTAGGGGATGTGCATAAGGGGAAAGCTTTGATATTGTCCCAATAAGTAAAGTAACAAAATAATCAAGTAAAATTCACAAAGTGGCAACTCTTAAATTAGGCTAGAAACAAGAAGACAACTGACTATACACAGATCCAGTGAAGAGATCAACGATCAAGGAAAGATTTGCGACACAGAAACCTTGAAGAATTCTCATTGAATCATAGATTGGCAATAAGCAAACATACAATCACTTGCCTATATTTAATTTCTATCCCCCACCAGGATCGTAGAAGGACCTTCGTTTAAATTATTTTCTAGCATTCATAACATGTTTACTGGCTTATAGCAAACTAATTATTGCAGAATACAACACATTTGTTCAGCAGTTTTCAATTACGAATGTGACTGGAACTGCATGTAGAAGTAATGGACCCTGTAATTAGACATTTATACAATTTTAAATACTTGTAAAAATTCAAATGGCCTTGCCCTCTGGCGGGATACTGTTAGTTACTCCTCCTAAGGGAGGACTCCAAATTAAGTACTAAACCTAGGATTGAGTGAACTGTGATGGCTCAGACACAATCCTTACAAAGACCATTGAAAGCTTAGAAATAACTTCTAAATGTATAAGTATTGGAGGCATAAAGTAAATATAGGAAATGTTTAATAATTAGCCTATAACGCTAGAAGCCTATTGAAAGATACAGCGCAGTTTCTTGAGATGCACAATGTAAATTAAAACTTATTGGCAGTATTAAAGTTCATAATACAAACAAACAAACTTATTAAAAGGTCAGTGTAATAACTAACAATAGGTGATTTTCCGTACAATTGCGAGATCTCGCGAGATGCATGAAAGACGCGCGTTGAACGTCTGCCGCAAAAATCGAACGATTTGATTTTGAACTTGAATTTCCTTATTTCGTAGCTCACACCGACCGGCCAATCTTCGACAGAAGAATATTGCTTCCGAATACCCTTACTTAATCGAAATTGCCTATCATCAAATGTGGACAGCACATTATTAAGCATGGAAATGTCCCCAAAATACTTTCGCATTTGTTGAATCCCACGCGATGTTTGATGCCACTACGACGCTATGACCTTTGTCCTGTTTTTACGTTCGATTTCACGCATAACGCGTGATTCTCGCAATGTACGGAAAATGGTCTATTGTATAATTATTATGCAGATTAGATATTTAAATTGCTCCGATTTCACTCAAAAAGAAATCAGGAATACAGTTTATCACAGAGTGCCTAAAGTTCCATTAAAATCTGATGAGCTGTTGGTTGTTGAGATTTTGCGATAAATTTGTTAATTTATGTAAATCGTGTAATTATTATGCACCAAAATCAACCAAAATCGAATTAGGTCTGCACATTAGAGAGCATTTACGAATCGAGAGTTACTGAAATCTGATGAGTGGTTGTGTACAAAGTCAAAAGGGGATTGACCAAAAAAGTGCACCAACCTCTTAATAAGAAGTCGCATGCAAGTTAAAAATTTGTCACTTGACACGCTGAAATTCATCATTAACTAATTTGTAAGTGCCAGTTACAAAGTCAAATTTTTGTTGTAAGTGACTGCAAGAAATATGACATATGACCTCTAGCTTCGTAAACCCCTTCTCCCCTATAACAACTAACCCCCTTTTAACATAGAGCACAACATCATCATCATTAAAAAGTAATCTCGACATCAGTTGGAAAATCTATTTTTTTCAACAACTTGCCAAGATTTCTATTTATAACCCTGCATGTATTGAGTTACCCGCGTCCCGCAGAGCACTCTCACAGACTCAGTCCAACAAATGAGTTGAGCCTAAAAAAAAAAAAAAGATCACGACCATTTTGTTTTGCTCCTCGAGCAAT